AGTTTAAGAAATTGATTTTTAATTTTAGAAAAAATTTAGATTTATGTTAAAAGTAAAAAAAAAATTTTTTTTTAAATATTTAAAACCATAAATATGTTAAATAACACAATATTCTTCCAAAGGTCCTTGYTAAAATCAATTAATTATTGTAGTACTCTTAGTATGAAAAATTTAAGTTATCTTATATTTAAAATTTTTTTCTATGCATAATTGTTCACTCTTGCATATATTTGCCTAGTCGTATTCACAATTCAATTCAACATTTAACTACACTAATTAAAAGTTTAATTTAACTACACAAATTATTTACTCAATCCTTAGGCTAGGCTTAGGACTAATTTAACTATTAAATCTACTAACTTTTTTTCACCAGCGCTATTTATAATCTATGTAGTTCTTATGTTGCCACAGTGTTTATATTATATGTATAATTATGASCTAAATTTTAATTCACTGTGTTTGGTTATTTACAATATTGTAGTACCCGTGAAGTCGCGTTTATCGTTTGGTCTAAAATTACAATACTCCTCCATCTACTTCCTTTTGTTCTTTTTCTCCTATTTGCTATTTTCTCTTCATTCTGGACTATAAATACACGCTAGAAATTTACTTATATTTTTCTTGTTTTTGCTTTCGTAACTTTCTCTAATTTACGTGTATTTCCAACAGTTTTCGTTTACTTCTTGTATTCATAATTGTTTTCAATTCAAAATGCATTTATTTGTAGCGTGAGTGTTGTTTAACTCACACATCTGAATGTTYTGCTTTAGAATTGTTCTGTAACATTTTCTGCTTTATTTACTTAGCAATGTTCATACATATGTAAATGTGTTCATATCCATATATATACTTTTTGTTTTATATTTGTTTTTATGTTTATTATTTTATTTTTAATTTTTTTTTGTATTTACTCGAAGTCTTTCATTTCATAGGAATTTTTATATTTTCATAATTCGCTTTTTTATTATTGCTATTGTTGTTTTTGTTTGTTGGTTCGTGAGTTTCGAATTTAAATGCTGAAGTTTTAGCGAATTGCTGAATTATTTACATATTTTTTCGTGTTAATTTTTTTTATTCTGTGGTATAAAAGTCGCAGTATTGTGTGTCTCATGAGTATTAGCATAAAATTTGTGGAAAGTTTCTCCTTTTACTTGCTATTTTTATAGTACATGTTTAGTTGTATGACAGCTTTTGGCGAAAGTTGGTTGTTAGTATAGTTGGAAAGTAAAATTTTAAGTAAAAAATATAAAATAATAAAAAATTAAAT